TCCCCCCCATAACTCCCCTCCTCCCAGTTCCCGCCCCACCCTCCGCCCTCACTCCCCACCCACTGTCCTCATCCATAGGTGCACGATTTTTGTCCAGTCTCTTCCCGACTAGTGTGTTTTCAACAATACAATAATCCCAGGCCCTACTCATGGGTCCTGATAGGTAGGTCTGAGGTGAGCCCAAGAACAAGCATTTTTAATAAGACTCCAGAGGGAACCCACACCAGGGTGATATTGATGCAAGGGGTCCCCAGGACACACTATGAGAAATACTAAGCATTGCCACATATAACATGAATAGAACAACTGACCTCTCATTGCTTTCAACAATTCTAAATGGTTCTATTTTCACATCAACTAAAATAAAAATAAACTATGCTGATGATTTCATATATTCTATCTTTACTTGTCTTTTACAAATCTTTCATTAAGAAGGCAAACTCAGACCACAATAATCACTATATTTTTTTACTCTACAAATACCCTGAAATTAGATATTATTTACCAACCTAAGAAAACAATAAAGAAAAAACAGAACACCCACCACTCCTTTCTCCACCACTTCCTTAAGTTTAGAGCGTGTCATTTTGGGTTCCTAAAGAGGGGAAAATGAGAAGAGTCAATAAAAATCATCGTGTAATTCTTGAATTTTGAGATGCTAACTTTGCCCCCAACTGCCAAACTATTTACAGACTCCAAGTGGCCTCCTACACTTAGCCAGTTTACCGGTAGCTCTGTTCCATGACATTAAAAAAATGACAATTAACGACTCACAAACATTGGCATATCTTCAGTCTCACTGATGGCTGCTTTCATCATCGCCACCACATGTTCATTTGTGATTACTTCCTGCAGAAAGATAAAATTTCACATTATGCAACAAAGATGTGTCACTCGATAATATTCATCTCTCTGTAATTCTGCTAGACATATGTAGAGACAAATGAGAGCTATATACTCAAACAGCTTCAGATTAGGGTAATGCAAGGCGACTAAAAGCAAAGAAGCAAGTTTTGCATAAAAACACACAGCTTCAAGCAATGTAACAGCTTATTAACTGCTACAGGGAATAAGAATGGCTTACATAGAAAGAAATTCTGCCCTAGCTGGTTTTGCTCGGTGGATAGAGCATTGGCCTTCGGACTGAAGGGTGGCTGGTTTGCTCGGTGGATAGAGCATCGCCCTTCGGACTGAAGGGTCCCAGGTTGGACTGCTCAATCCCCCCCAATATGGCATGCAGGAGGCAGCCAATCAATGATTCTCTCTCATTGATGTTTCTATCTCTCTATCCCTCTACCTTCCTCTCTGAAATCAATAAAAATATATTTTTTTTAAAAAAATAGGAAATTCTAAGGTAACTATATGCTTAAGAGAAATGAATAAACGAAAGTTTTGTAAATAGCTGTGTTGCTACATATTGAAGAACAGTATTTGCATATGTGCAAAGTACTGTAAACTGTTAACTGGGCATCTTGTCAGGCATATTAACCCACAAAAGAGTAAATCCAGTATAAACATTATCATCATATCATCTTCAAATCTAATAAATAATACAGTAAACAATCGAATCAGTGAAGGCAGCAGAGGAACAGTTTATCTTCCCAGTTAAGTTCTTCTTTAACATTTGTTCAGATTTCAAATGTGTGCTGAGTGCAAAGAGAAATCTATCTTGAAATGTAAAATGTTTTGCCATAGGTAACTCACAAAATTAGTAGTTCACATACCAAGAGTCAAGAATTTTCTGATTACTTTTATTTGCTTTCCATAGAAAATTTCCATTCCAATTACATAGCCGTCCCAGTCTTACTCACGTGAAGGATGTTTCGCACATTGACTGCTGTCAGGTTGTGCTGCTTGGCGCCATCCTCTAAGGTACGGTCCAGCCTATCATCCAGTTTTGGGTCATAAGCCAAAGTCCCTTCTTCTTGACCCCTTCCATCTCGTTTCCTCTTGGTACCCTTTTTCTTTTTCTGCCTTTTCTCACTTTCTTCACTGTCTTGCTCTTCTGCAAATAAACCAAGAACATCACCAGAATCTCCAAAGCAACTGCTCCCCAAATGTAACCCCAAAAGGCAACCTTGTAAAAGAGAAACCAGCTGCCAGCTGTCCGGCCCTGGAAATCAAAGATTATGCTGTGGCAGTGGTGGTAATGGTGGAGGTGATAGAACTGTCACAGTAATAATACCTAACTTTCTGTCAGGCAGTCTTCTACATACTTTATATGTATTAATTCACTTACTCCTAAGTAATACTCCTTATGAAATAGAGACTATTCTTTTTTCCGCTGTACAGGTGGAGAAACAGAGGCTAAGAGATAAGAAACTTTCCGAAGAGCCAGTAATGACAGAACCATGTTTTGAAGCCAAGCAGTCCAGCTCTAGAATCAGCAGTCTTAATTATTACTCCACATTGCCCAGATAATGCATAGAAAACCCTCGGTTTGTGGCCCAGTTCTACAATTTAACAGGGTAACCTTGGCAATAGTCTCGTTTTTTCTTTTATAAAATATAGATATCTCGCCGAACCGGTTTGGCTCAGTGGATAGAGCGTTGGCCTGCGGACTCAGGGGTCCCAGGTTCGATTCCGGTCAAGGGCATGTACCATGGTTGCGGGCACATCCCCACTGGGGGCGTGCAGGAGGCAGCTGATCGATCTCTCTCATCGATGTTTCTGGCTCTCTATCCCTCTCCCTTCTTCTCTGTAAAAAATCAATAAAATATATTTTAAAAAAAATATATAGATATCTGCCCATTAGGGAAGCCACGTAGATTAAGTTAAATAATATATATCAAAGTGCTATATAATCAATGAAACATTATATAAATGTAACTTATCATAATATTACTATTCAGTGTAAAAACAAGGAGCAAAGCTATAAAAATTCCACTCTGAATTATACAAATAAAAAAGGTACACACACAAAAAAAGATATCAAGTATCTCCATTCTACAAGAAAGGAGCACAAATATAACCAGGAAAAGAAAAAACTTCCTGCCCAGGCCGGCGTGCTCAATGGTTAGAACATTGGCCTGTGCACCAGAGGGTCTCAGGTTTAATTCCCAGTCAAGGGCACATATCAGGGTTGCAGGTTTGACCCCTGGCCCCAGTTGGGGTGCGCTCAGGAGGTAACCAATTGATGTATCTCTCTCACATCAATGTCTCTCTAGCTCTCTCTTCCTCTGTCACTCCCTCCCTACCTCTCCACACACCCTCCTCCATTCCACCGTCTCTAAAAATGTGCGAGGATTAACAAACAGAAAATACAAATCAACCAATGAATACATAAATAAATAAAACAGCAAATCGATGTTTCTCTCTCTCTCCCTTACTCTCTCTAAAATTAAAAATGTTCTAAAAAATAAAGAAGTAAAAAGCCTACAACTATTGTCATACATACTGGAGAAACACTGACCACCTTCCCCCAAGTTCAGAAATGAGACATGGATGTTCACTATCACCACTTCTAACCTACATAGTAATTTGCAATATGTAAAAGCGTGTCCCAAAATTCACGCAAGAAGTAATTTTGATAGAAAACACAGGTTTATAATTAAAAATTGTAAATTTTTTATTGATTCATGAAGTATACAGTATAGGGTTATGTAGGGAATAGCACAGTGGGTAAATGGCCTCCACGGCTTTGCTGGCACATACGCACTCTTTTGTTGAAATTTTCCATGACCGAAATGCGGCTGCTCAGGCACAGCCGCATTTCGGTCATGGAAAATTTCAACAAAAGTGCGTATGTGCCAGCAAAGCCATGGAGGCCATTTACCCGATATGCTATTCCATACATAACCCTATACTGTATACTTCATGAATCAATAATAAAAAATTAATTTTTCATTATAAATCTGTGTTTTCTATCAAAATTACTTCTTGCGTGAATTTTGGGACACCCTTTATAAAAAAAGAAACCACAGGGGTTCACTTAAAGCCACTTAAGTTGAATAAAGAAGTCTATTTACTTGTCTATATGTGTTATATTGCACAAAAATATAGTTCAAAGAATTTTTAAGGAGGACTAATTCTATAACCTATTAATTCCACCCAACGAAAATAAAGTACATATGCTCACCGGGAGATCTATAGTACAGTGGGGCCTTGACTTACGAGTGTCCCGACTAACGAGTTTTTCGAGATACGATTTTTTGCTTTGAGTTGCGAGCTAAAATTCGGGTTACGAGCCAGCTTCAGATACCCCACCGCTAGTTGGCGCAACGAACGTCACAACATCAGCCCAGCATCAGGTGTCTCACTCGTTCACTTTTTGATTTGACATACGAGTAATCTGAGTTACGAGCTCCATCACGGAACGAATTAAACTCGTAAGTCAAGGCCCCACTGTACAATGTTCACAGCAGCACCATTCAGAGTAGCCTACAACTAGAAATGATTTGAACGTCCATTAAGAGTTTTTTGTTTTTGCTTTTATTTTAGAAAGAGAGAGAGAGAGAGAGAGAGAGAGAGAGAAGGAGAAACCTCGATTGGTTGTCTTCTGTATGCACCTGACCAGGGATCAAACCTGCAACCTGGGTATGTGCCCTGACCGGGACTCCAACCCACAACCCTTCGGTGCACTCCAACCAACTGAGCCACACTGGCCAGGGCAAGAGTTGAATGGATAAAGAAAATGTAGAATATTCAACAACGGAATACTATACAGCAAAGAAAATGAACAATCTACAAATACATGAAACAATGTGGACCAATTTCATAAATATATAGTTAAGTGAAAAAAGGCATGTATGTATGTATTCCATTCATACAAAGTACAAAACAGATGAACCAATCTATGCTGCTAGAAGTCAGGATAATGGTTACCCAGGGGTAAGGTGTTGGTAATAACTTAAAGGGAGTACTATTGAGTACAGGTAATATTCTGTTTCCTTTTTTAAAAAAAATATATTTTATTGATTTTTTACAGAGAGAAAGGGAGAGGGATAGAGAGTTAAAAACATCGGTGAGAGAGAAACATTGATCAGCTGCCTCCTGCACACCCCCTACTGGGGATGTGCCCACAACCAAGGTACATGCCCTTGACCAGAATCGAGCCTGGGACCCTTCAGTCCCCAGGCCGACGCTCTATCCACTGAGCCAAACCGGTTAGGGCTCTGTTTCCTTTTTTTAAAATGGGAATGTTCCAAGGAAATGTTCATCTATTTTTATTTATTTATTTATTTTAAATATATTTTTATTGATTTCAGAGAGAAAGGGAGAAGGAGAGAGAAATAGAAGCATCAATGCGAGAGAGAAGTATCAATCAGCTGCCTCCCATATATGCTCCAATTGGGGACCAAACCTACAACTCAGGCATGGGCTCTGATCGGGAATGGAACTGGAAACATTTGGTGTATGGGCTGACACTCCAACCAACTGAGCCACCCCGCCAGGGCAGTAATATTCTTTTCTTGATCTGGTTGCTGGTTACATAGGTGCATTCAAACTCTGAAAATTCAATAAACTTTTATATCTTAGGATATGTGCAGTTTTCTGCATATTATACTTCAATAAAGAGGGTTAATTTGAAAAAAAAGAAAAGGAGAGCCTACCCATTGGAATAAAGAGTCCATCATCCTCTATCTCTTCCTCAGCTTGGTGATCTGAAGTCCTGAATGGCTTTCCTTGAGGAGAGGCACAGGCATCTGGCTGAGATGATTTCCTAGGCTGGGCTCCTAGTTTTACAGAGTGGCTGCCTGATGGCAATAAAGGCATCTCTTCTCCAGAATGCATCTGAGGTTTTCCTGGAAGAATTACAAACACTGCTTCACACTTTCACCATTCTTAGTCATACTCTATTGTAGAAATCAGGATCTTGTTATAAAGTCCTTTGTAGGTAGATAACTTTGTTAATGATGCTTATACTATACAGGCATTCCTCTCTCTTAAAGACAGTGTCCTAAGAAAAATATTGAAATATGCTCACATCCAATTTACTCATCTATAATGTCAGGGAATTGAAGTAGATAATTGCTAAGGTCTTTCTAGCTCTATTACACTGAGAGCTATGCATTTATTTCCTACTAGAGGCCCGATGCACGAAATTCATGCAAGAGTAAGCCTTCCTTCCCCCAGCACCCGGGACCTGGGCTTCCCTCACAGCCCCGGCTTCATCCGGAAGGTCGTCGGGTCTAATTAGCATATTACACTTTTATTATTATAGATAGAAAAATCAGATTCATATGGGGGGAGGGGAGGTGTTATATTGCTGATGACAAAGGGACAATTTATATAGTTGACCATTAACATCACATTTAATTAACTATAAATGATATACATTATAAAATGTGGTTACCAGAGGAGAAGTGGGGTGGGGAAGGACAAAGAGGGTAAAGGGAGTCAAATGCATGGTGATGAAAGGAGACTAGACTTTGGTGGTATAAGTAGACAGATGTCATATTATAAAGTTCTACACCTGAAATTTGCACCATGTTACTAACCAATGATACCCCAATAAATTTAATTTTTTTAAAAATCTCTAGATTCCACTCAATAGCTAAGTGACATTGAACCCCTACTTAATTATCCATTCCTTGTTTAGCACTCTAATCTTGTATTTTTCTCCAGTTCTTCCTGTCTTCGTGTCACCATTACAACTTAGTTTATAGAAAGAAATTTAACAATCAGCCCCTCAAATACGTTCCCCATTATGACAGCATGCTTCACCATCCCCCAATCCAGATACCTTAAATCATAGCAGTCTCTGAGCAACATTAGTTATTTCTTTGTCAAGTCTAAATTATACTCTTTATTCTCTATTCTTTATAAGGTCTTAAGGGGATAACAGCATGGCTGTGAATACCTTGATCTGCCCTTTCTTTCTGAAGCCCTGCTACATTCCCACACAAACACAGCACACAAATTAATCACATGTTGTCTTATACTGTTCCAAATGTTTATGTCTTGTCTTTCCAACTAAACTATAAGCTTCCTGAGGTTAGAACTATGTCTTCTGCTTCTTTTATGCATCAACTAGAGGCCCGGTGCATGAAATTCATGCACTCAGGGGAGGGGAGTCCCTCGGCCGGCCTGCCCCTCTCGCAGTCTGGGAGCCCTCAGGGGATGTCCAACTGATGGCTTAGGCCCTAAGCCAGCAGTAGCTAAGGAGGCAGGAGAGGCTCCCGCTACCACCACTGCGCTCACCAGCCATGAGCCCGGCTCAGGGCTTCTGGTTGAGCAGCGCTCCCCCTGTGAGAGCGCACTGACCACCAGGGGGCAGCTCCTGCATTGAGCGTCTGCCCCCTGGTGGTCAGTGTACATCATAGCAACCGGTCGTTCCGCCATTCAGTTGATTTGCATATTAGCTTTTTATTATATAGGGTTAGCAATCACCTACAGGAAAAGTTCAAACACCTGAGCATGGAAAATAAAACCCTTCACAATCTAAGCACAATCTACCACTCTGAAGTCATCTCTCACCACTTCTTCCAAGCAATGTCACCATCCTCTTCTGCCTCTGACATCTGAGCTGTCTACTGTTGGCCTATGAAACCCTATGCCATCATTCTGTCAAACTGCAACTCATCCTTCAAGTCCTAAGGGTTAGGTAAAGCCTTTCCCAATGTCCCAGGCAGTAGTCTCTAAGCCACTGACCCTCCTCCACAAGCCCCACATCATAGGTATGCACCAAATCACATAGTTCATACCTCCAGACAAGAAAGGATAGAGAAAGGAAAGAAAAGAACACAGAAGATTTAAGGAATGGGAGGGGAGAAGAAAACCTCCACCCATTCATAAAGTTCACTGCTGACCTTCGGAACTCTGCAATTCCAATTCCATGCCAAATCAAGATCCCCTTTCAGAAAAAAACTAAATTTTGTAAAGGCACTGCAAGAGTGCAGTAGCAAAGGCAAAGACAATGCCAAACGGCTGACAAGAAAAACATAGCAAGACCATGCATAGCTTACCACCCTCTTCCTTGACTTCTTCACTAGGCTCTCCTGAAAAAGGCTCCTTTGTGATAAGATGATCACCTTCGTCTTCTTGGGTAACTGGCTTGGGCCTGAGTGTCATTTTCTTCCCTCTCTTTGAACCAATGGCAAGGAGTTTTTCTTTATCAATGTGTATGTTAAGGGGCTGGGAAGACTCCAAGGAAGGTAGGGCGATTCCCGTTGAGATGGCCACATTAACAGCTTCTAGAACTGCTGCATTTGTGTCCTGGGTGAGTACCCTGGAACTCAAAGATGGATCTTCCACACCAAGCTGATTTCCTGCATCCTGCACAGATTCAACTTCCAGACCAGCTGCACTACCATGACTTCGACCCCAGGCCAGTGACACTGACCCCAAGTCTTTAACCTGGTCAGATTCTGGTTGAACAGCTGACTCTAGGTCTAAGTCCTCTTCCTCCAGGTTGCCCTGATGCTGTGGGAACTCAGTCTCTGAAGTTCTTCTCTTCTTACTGGGCAACATTTTAAAAGTCCTACTTTTGTTCCATCCTGAAAGGATAAAAGCAAGTTTTTATCACCTTCATATTAACTATGATAATACTTCCTCAAATATATTTTCACTTACTCATATTCAATCATGAACACAGTACTTTATATCAAATGCACCTTATTTCCATTAGGTGGAAGTGGACAGACAGTGGTTAGAGTGCCTGAGATCCCAATTCTACTGCTGATTAGTAAGTTATCTTGCTTAGTGACTTAACCTCTCTAAACTTCAGTTTCCTCCACTGTAAAAAAGAATTGTTTTTACCTCATAAGAGTTGTTATAAGAATTACATAGTAGCCCTAACCGGTTTGGCTCCGTGGATAGAGCGTCAGCCTGCAATCTGAAAGGTCCCAGGTTCGATTCCGGTCAAGGGCATGTACCTTGGTTGCGGGCACACCCCCACTGGGGGGCGTGCAGGAGGCAGCTGATTGATGTATCTCTCTCATCAATGTTTCTAACTGTCTATCCCTCTCCCTTCCTCTCTGTAAAAAATCAATAAAATATTTTTTTTAAAAAAAGAATTACATAGTAAATGATGAGTGTCAGTTATTATTATTACCACCAGGCAGGTAGAATAGCACGATGCTGAGACCAAACAGAGTCAAACTGTCTGGATTTGTTTCCCAAATCTGATTCTCTCCAGCTTCGTGACCTTCTATACATTACTTAACCTGAATCTGCTTCTTCCGTCATAAACTAAATTAAAAATAGCAGTTACATCATTAGACAGTAATTTATTAGATCAATAAATGTTCTCTATTTCTGTTTGCATAAACAGGTTATTTCCATTAACAGAAACAATCCAAAAGTAAAATGTGTTTGTTTAAAGAGGTTAGGCCTTGCCCTGGATAGTGTTTCTCAGAGGTTAGAACGTGCACAGGCCCACACACCGAAGGCTACAAGTTCGATTCCCGCCAACGGTATGTACCTGGGTTGCAGGTTTGATTCCTGGCCCCAGTCCAGGTGTCATGCAGGAGACAACCAATCCATGTTTCTCTCTCTCTCCCTCCTTCCCTTCTACTCTCTCTAAAAATCAATGGGCCAGGGCCGGTTTGGCTCAGTGGATGGAGCGTCGGCCTGCGGACTGGGGAGTCCCAGGTTCGATTCCGGTCAAGGGCATGTACCTTGGTTGTGGGCACATCCCCAGTAGGGGGTGTGCAGGAGGCAGCTGGTCGATGTTTCTCTCTCATCGATGTTTCTAACTCTCTATCCCTCTCCCTTCCTCTCTGTAAAAAAATCAATTAAAATATATTTTTTAAAAAAAATCAATGGAAAAAATATACATCTTCGGGTGAGGATTAACAAATAAATAAACAAAGAGGTTAGGCGATATTAACAGAAATTCTGTGTTGTAAACAAGAGAGAGATTCCTACTGTTCTCCGTACTAAGTTACTTCTGACGCTTGCTTTCAATTCCAGTTATCACAGTTTAGGAGCAACACTAACCTAAATTGGATGGTATCTTCTTTCATGTACTTCTAGCACCTGTTTGCAACCTCTTTTATAATAATTATAACTTTTGTAATTGCCTCTTGTCTGTCTCCTTTCTATCTGCCTCCACAAAAAAACTATGTGGTTTTTCAGGAAAAGGACTTTTTCAACTAGTACCCCTAGTACCAGGCAGTATCTGCCCTATTGTAAAGACTGACTGAATGAATGAATGAATGGATGGAAAAGAGTGTGGCTCCGGCCGGTGTGGTTCAGTTGGTTGAGCATCCTCCCATGCACCGAGATCACCAGTTTGATTCCCCGACAAGGACATGCCCAGGTTTCAGGTTCGATCCCCAGCAGCGGTGGAGGCAGCAGATTGATGTTTCTCTCTCTCATCAATGTTTCACTCTCCTTCTCCCTTCCTCTCTCTCTAAAATATCAAAAGCATATTTTAAAAAAGAGAGCATGAACTTCCCTACTCTGTGCTTATTTTATGCAGCATTTAGACCAAAGTTAAGCATTATATGGAAACTTTCTAACCAAAAAACTTTACCCAATAAAATAGGTACAAGAACAGAATAAGTTATCTTGTGTTACAGTGAGTTCTTCATCACTGATAATGTTCAGTCTGAATGCCCATCCACCAGGGCACTAGATGAATGTTTGGACTACAGGACTGCAAAATGAAGTTCTTTTTTATTTTATTTTCCGTCTTAAATAATTTCCCGTATTTAAGGAGTTGAGAGAAAGAGAGAAACATAGATTTGTTGTTCCACTTATTTATGAATTCATTTGTGGATTCTTGTATGTGCCCTGACCGAGGATCGAACCCGAAACCTTGGTGTATCCTGACGGTACTCTAACCAACGGGGCAGACCGGCCAGGGCAAAGTTCCAACTCTTCAGAGTCTGAAGAGTTAGTTTTAAACCTCCCTAATTCAGCTTCCACAGATCCTAGGAGAGATCTCCCCCCAACTCCAATCTACCAACGCCTTTATCTTGGTAATTAAAGCTCAAGGGCGGGTGGTAAGTGGGGAAGGGGAGTGGGAGTAGCTTAGGCGAGTCCAATATTCTGCAGATGAATTACTGAGGTCCAGAAAAGGGGTGGGAAATTAAGAATGAAAGAAAAGACAGCCAGCTACCATTTAAAGTCAGCAGCGTACAGGGATCGGCTCCCGGCACTTATAATACAGCAATTCTAAAGCGGCTCACCTTTTAGGAACTGGAGTGGGACCAACAGGGTGAACGAATGCAAATCCGAAGGTAGCCCCCGCGCGAGTCCCTCCTGGGGATATTTTCCAAAAGGGGGGCCTGACTGCGCTTTTTACCAGGGGCCGAGCACTGGCCCAAGTCCCCGCGCCCGGCTAGACCCCCTCGGACCTCTACCTTCTGTCCTACACCCCGCGCCAGCCCTCAAACCCGACCCCCGCAGCCTGGACATCCCGCGCCCGGACGTGCAGCTCCCACTCGCCACTTCCCGCCTCACGGCACGGGACACGGTCCCCCCAACAGCGACTGATCCCGCGGAAACTCGGAGTTGGGGCCACCGGAAGTCAGCCGGCGGCAGCAACTTACGTGCGCGCCCCCGAGTCGCGGTGCGTGGCGTCAGGACGTCAAAGAGCGCGCTCCAATCACTGGGCGCCGTCCCACTTGCGGGCGGGATGAAGCCGCAAGGCTAGCACGTCCCTTGTGGGCAAAAAGTTTTAAGGGAATATCCCTCTTACTCGGTCCCAGGCGCTGCTCAAAACAAAACTTGGGGTTGTGATTCGTTAGTTTAACTTGACAACGAATCCTTCTTGCCGCGTCACACCTGAACTACGGGGCCAAGGAAGTGGAGAATTCAGACATTTTCAGAAAGGAATCCCTGGGTTACCAATAGGGCAGTTATTTGTACTAGTGAGTCATGGAGTCACTCCATAGTAACTACTGCTCATAGCTGTATAATACTCTGCCATTTTCCAAAATGCTTTCACTTACGTTATCATAGGTGATTTGATCTCCCCGATAAACCTTATGGAACAGTGGGTATTATACTTTCAAATTTACACGGAACAAATTTCTGGCTCAGTTTGGATAGGTGATTTCACAAAGGTACACACAGCTATCAAGGGGAATCGGGTATCCTTAACTCTAGCTTTTAATGCATTGATCCAACGTCCAGGAAGCATAGTTGATGTCCAATAATTCAATACTTGTGTTTTGAACAAATGAATGACTCCTAGAGCCATGTTCTTTCCACTTTTCTAGAAGAAGAGAATGTCAAAATTGGAAAAATACACTCATCTCATTTTGCAGGTGAACCACCAACAAATATTTTATGCATTTAAATAATCTATGTAACCTGATCCTGTCTGTAAACAGAATCGATGAAAGTATCCACAGCCAAAATGAAGAGCGAAATTAATATACTCATGGACACAACTGCAATCTGACTCTAGCCTCAATCACCCTAACTCTCCCAAATGCCAAGGAAGTCCCTAGAAGCTTGGAGTTTCATTTGTGGCTTGCTTTTGAACCTGTAGCATATGGGTATCTTCCCTGGAAAAGTTTTGTTGCTCACAGGGTTTCAAATATCAGAGCCTCTGGTCATCTGATGGTTTGCACATGCTCTCTCTCCTAAGCAGCCCTAATCACTTGACTCTTTAAAAAAGAAATATGGCCCTGACCGGTTTGGCTCAGTGGATAGAGCATAGGCCTTCAGACTGAAGGATTCCAAGTTCGATCCGGTCAAGGGCATGTACCTTGGTTGCGGGCACATCCCCAGTAGGGAGTGGACAGGAGGCAGCTGATGGATGTTTCTCTCTCATGGATGTTTCTAATTCTCTATCCCTCTCCCTTCTTCTCTGTAAAAAAAATCAATAAAATATATTTTAAAATAAGTAAAAAAAGAAAGAAATATGCAGCACTGATTAATTTTGGCATTCTTCATTAGTCTTTTTATTTATTTCTTTTTAACTTATTTTATTATTTATCTGTTTGTTTTTCTTTCTTTTTTTTTATCTGTTTGTTTTTCAACATCATTTTTTTTAAATCCTCACATGAGGGTATTTTCCATTGATTTTTTAAAATTTTTAATTTATTTTATTATTTATCTGTTTGTTTTTCTTTTCTTTTTTTATCTGTTTGTTTTTCAACATCATTTTTTTTGAATCCTCACATGAGGGTATTTTCCATTGATTTTTTAAAAGAGAAAGGGAAAGACAGAGAGAAATATCCATGTGAGAGAAACATCGATTGGTTGCCTCCTGCACTCGCCCTGAAGCCTGCAACCCAGGTACGCGCCCTTGACTGGAATCGAACCCAGGACCCTTCAGTCCGCAGACTGACGCTCTATCCACTGAGCAAAACCGGCTAGAGCTTCATTAGTCTTTTTATAAAAACAGCTTTAATTTACACACCACAAAATTCATCCGTTCTACTTGTATAATTGAATTGTTCTAAGTAAATGTTCAGAGTTGTGCATCCATCAGGAGGTCTGATCTTTAGTCAGAGTTTTAGCGTTTCTGAAGTTTAAGAAAGTTCCCATAATAACCTTTAGTGGGCTCAGAAATGCATAACAATAATGGCAATGGATCCTGACATGCAGACATACAGAATTTTGTTCTTCCAAAATCCTGGGCTCCCTCTTGGCCAGAACATTCCCCTGCTATATTAAGCCCAGGGGATCAGAATCATGATAACATACCTACATTTCTTACTCTATCCTTGGGGTTTTCTCCTTTAGACCAACAGCCCGTCAGTGGGCGGGTCTTATTCTCAGGAAATCCCGGTGATGGGGTCCCCTCCCAGAGATCTTCCGGAAAGGGGCGGGTCCTGCCTTCCGGAACTTTTCGGACAGAGGCGGAGTCTTCTGCCGAGGACCGCTCGGAAGAAGGCGGGGCCTCCCTCGCATCAGGACCAGTCTGGCTGCACCTGCATCCTTAGCTCAGAGCATCCCTGGAGCATCTTAAGAGGCGACCGCAGCTGGCAACCAGGGACCAGACCGTCACAGGGGGCACCCGCCAGATACCTCCCCCCTCCCCTGACCTAGCGCTGTACAGCGGCGGCCTCGGTTCTGATCCAGGGTTCTCAGAGTTGTCTGACCATTGCAACAGCCTTTACAGCAAGAGCCTCTGATTACGACATGGCCGAAATCACCGATATCCGACCTAGCTTTGGTAAGTACAGTCGGTCCAACTAAGCCTGTGGTAATCGAAAGAGTTGTCAAGCTAGGGGAACCCGGCGGCTGCACAAGGAATGAAGCCCAGACCGGGGTCTTCAAGTGCCAGCCCCGCTAGAATCGGGCCTGTGGAGGTGGGTCGTGGGCAGTGGACAGAGCCTGAACTTAAACTATGGGCTGCAGAGGCTGGGAAGGCTAGAGACATGGAGGCTGGGGGGGGGGGGGGGCCTGGTAAGTACAGTCGGTCCAACTAAGCCTGCGGTAATCGAAAGAGTTGTCAAGCTAGGGGAACCCGGCGGCTGCACAAGGAATGAAGCCCAGACCGGGGTCTTCAAGTGCCAGCCCCGCTAGAATCGGGCCTGTGGAGGTGGGTCGTGGGCAGTGGACAGAGCCTGAACTTAAACTATGGGGGGCTGCAGATGGGAAGGCTAGAGACATGGAGGCTGGGGGGGGGGAGGTCCAGGATGCTAAAACCTCGTATGGTGCACCGTCAGCACTGCTGGAGGTGAGAAACAGAGAGTTTGCAGAGGATGTGCACCCCTCCTTCTGGGGGAGGAGAGGTGGAGTAGGCCGAGCCCTCCCCCTTGGGGCACGCAGGGCGGTGCCCCTTCCTCCCCATCCTAGTCCTCAGGCTGCGGGGGAGGGAGATGGCAAGGGGGATGGGGCATCAAGATGGCAGTTGGGAGACTGTGGGCTGTGTGGATGGCAGCCAGGGGAGGCAGCGGCCTCTAGGGAGAGCGGTGCGGGGGTGGGGAGTTAAAAGGAAGCCACTCCTTAAGCCGGTCAGCTGGATGCTGAGGCTGAGGGGAACCGTGAGCCCCGCAAGTTCTATTCTGCATCGTAATGGTGGGGTCCTTCTGATGCTACCAAATGGCGCTTGGTGCTGCTGGGCGAGGGGATGACGTGATGTCTATTTCTGGGCCTCCTGGCAGTGCCCAGGCGCTTCCTCCCAGGCCTTTTGTTCCCCGTTCTCTGGGCTGGCTTTTCAAATAGGGGGACTCACCCGCGGTAGTGCCGGAGCTGGTGGGGGCCCGACCCAGGCCGGAGGGGGAGGGGCGTGAGAGGCCCGGCCCGGGGGAGGCCGCTTTGTGTACCAGAGAAAGCATTACGTCATCTCGGCGCGGCTCCAAGATCTGTTACATTCCTTGGAGCAGAGAGTGGAGTGGAAAATAGGAAAAATGGGAAATAAAAGCTCCAGAAACAAGTTTTTCCTCCTAGGGAATTCCTCCAAAATATGCTAGGGTAACAAACAACCTGTGCTATGTTTTCCTGGTACAAAAATAAAAAAAGAATTGCCCTGCGTCTCCCTTAATTCTACTTAACCCCAGTTTGGATGGTAGAAGCCAGTAAGAGTGCTGTCAGCCAAGGGTTCCTTCATATCCCTTAAGAGATCCTAACCCTCAGACAATCCAGAAGTTTTGAGCATCCAGGGCTTGGGTGGGTCCACAATCCAACATGGAAGTGGCTTTTCTCACTCTCCAGTGAGAGGTTTATGGAAATGAGCAAAACCCAATGTGCTCCATTCTCTCAATATTCAGAAGACATCAGATCAGGGGAAGTATCTAGACAGCAGATCACACCCAATTACTACTTGTTCCCACTGATTCTCAAGGGTAAACCTTGATGTTTTTGTCTTCCACTTCACCTTCTGCATTGCTATTCTTTGAGTCCTAAATTTCTAAAATAGATGTCTCTTTGGAGATTGCATGAGCACCCTATGATTTTCTTTCTGCTCTTTCTTTTTCTTCTTATGCCTTCTTTTCAACATGTTCTTTTTTTTCTAATTGCATTTCCCAATTCCTTGGAAAGTGAGATGGTGTGATTTCCTTTAGAAGGAATATTAGTGGAAAAGAGAAAATAAATTTTATCAGCCTTTTACATACTACATTTTATTTAATCCTTACAAATATCCTCTGATGTAGGAATTATTATATATACCTTTTCCAGTTGAGGAAACTGAGGCTTAGGGAGATAAAATAAATAAAAGTTACACAAAATAGTGAGGGTGGTGCCAATGTCCAGTTGATGCCAAAGTTTGTTCTCATATCGGTATCACACTGGTCTATTTGACAGGGAAAAGCTGGTTTAGTAAAGGAAGTCAGTAAGGAGGTCTGGTCAGGGACTCACAGAGTTGGGCATAGCCCAGATGTGTCTCACGGGCCTTTCAACCCTTACAGAGGGTTTCCTACACAAGAACTGTTACTTCTGACTTTTTCATGTCTCATAGAGCACTTCATTTCCAATGCCTTAGCCCTTGGGAGATACACCAAGCCAACGCTCAATTATCCACGACCTTAGAGTACAAAAGGAACAAGAAGCATAGGTCACTGCAATTTACAACTACTTTAAGCACTCACTTCAGATATTAGTTCCAACTTCCTTTTCCCACCAACCTTTTGACTAAAGCAAGACAGAGGGTTCTGAGTCTCAACATCCCCGATTTTCCTAATTAACTGCCTTGAGTGTGGGAAAGAGAGGCAGAGGTTAACAAATAATTAAGAAAAAAGTAGGGCAAAGGTGGAAAATAAGGTGGAGAAAAGCACGTAGGTGATTTATAAATGGATTGATCTGTTTCTCTTCTTTTCCTTCTCTGTCCTTCTGAAAGATAAGAATCCTTCATCTTCTTTCTTACCCACACCACCTGCATTTTCTAGCAGTAACAGCCAAGGCATGGGAAGCAACAGTGGGTTCCCTTGGGATCACAGAGTAAACTTAAGGTAGAGCCAAAAGGATCACTCAAATGTCTCCCAACATGGCCTTTAGATCTCTCTTTCAAATCATTCTCAAAAATACACCTGTCTAGGTAGTTCCCTGCTTTCCCCTTCTCACAAAGACAAGCAATGTTCAGTTTCACTAATCATTAGCAAGCAATTTTCAGGAAAGTCCCTTATTGGTGAATAGAGAGCCATTTTTTTTTAGCTTGTGCCATTTTGATTGACAATTGAAACCAATCAATTGTTCAAATAAATATTTACTGAACTTGCGTTAGATGCAAGAGACTCAGGGATTCAGAGATGAACAGGATGTCATTTCTGCTTGCTCTCAATGAGCCGAACACCAAGGCTGTCCCATTTTGTGAAAACTCTCTCCATAATAACTCTTATTTCACTTAATGCTCTGTGAATAAACAGTTATTATTTGGTATGGACATGGTCACCTTGATTTATTTTGTTAATGGCTTTATTCCTTAACTATATTATTTTAGAATGTAACTCCTCCTTTTCTTTAACAATTTTTTTATTTTTATTGATTTTAGAGAGAGGAACATTGATTGGTTGTCCCATTTATTTATGCATTCATTGATTGCTTCTTGTATGTGACCTGACCAGGGATTAAACTCAAAACCTTGGTGTATCAGGACGAACGCTAACCAACTGAGCTACTCGGCCAGGACTAACCCCTTCTTTTCTTACCTGGTCCCAGCTTTCATGAAACCATGGAATGTTTGAAGTAGAAAAAACTTTGGAGATATTTAGCACAATCTCCATGGAAGAAATCCCTTTTAGAATATCCCTGACCAATGGTGATTCAACCTCTAAAAGTTTTCAATTATAGATTCACTGCTTTATGAAGCAATCTGGGCTATTGTGAGGCAGTTGAAATAATAATTTGACTCTTTTCATTGAGTCAGATCTGTCTTCCTGTAGCCTGTACGCGCTGGCCCTCCAAAGTAAAATCAAATCACACCTTCTTCCATCACAGCATCTTAAATAATTGAAGACAGTTATTATTCCTACACCTCTCAGCTCCTTCAGTTCCTTCCATTTTTCTTCACTGGATGTGGTTCCCAGATCTTTCACCATCCTGATGATCCATAATGTAGAGACACTTTGGTGTCAGGCAAACCAGTATTTAAATCCCATCACCACCATTTGCCATTACTTGGCCTGGGGCAGATTTGAGCCCCCAGGTTTCTCCATTGTAAAGTGAGTATATTAATAGTACCTACTTAATGAGTTCTTTGATTCAAAGAGAGGAAGCTCTAGCTCAATGCCTGACAGGGACATAAAAAATGTACAACCAAAAAAAAGCAGTGTTTATTCCTGTCAGTGCCAGACAGTAGACAGAACACTCCATATGTGTTGTGACCAGTGCAGATGAAATTATACTACCCTTCTGTGATCCAGACATCGTATTTAAAGTATAAGTTGGCTCTAGCCTAATTATACTCCACGCTTGTGGTCACCTAAACTGCTAAGTGATTTTTGCTCAGACTTGTCAAGTAAGGTCTCCCGTTGCTTATTGACAGGTTTTAAAAACCAAATAGAATTTTAAATTTTCCTTGAGATATGTCATCATATAGACCGCACCCTCTTTTTCCAATCTGTGGAGGCTGTTTTGAATTTACTAACTCATTTGTTCACTGAATACTTACTAGGTGCCACATGGTTCTGGGACCTGGGGATATAGCAGTGAACAGACAGAAATTCAGTATTCTTATTAAGTTTATCTGGTGAGGAAAAACAGAAATTGTTGGGCGTAAGAACTACCGTGAGGAAAAAATAAAGCAGGTAATAGGGATATTATCTCACTCGGGGCAGTCAGCAAATGCTTCTCTGATAACGTGAAGTTTGCACAGAGGTCTGCAGTGAGAGGCAGAGAGCCGGGCAGACCTGGTGAAAGGATGCTCCAGGAAGAATCTGGAATATTCTGGAGTCACACTTATTTTCTTATTTCTCCCTGTCCAAATCTTTCCTTAAAAAAGTAATGTGGGGTTTGTTATGTTTCTGCTTCCATTGAAACGAAATTATATAATAACATTTCAAATTCAAGGGACCATATTATGGCACAATGGGTTTCAATATTTGTGATTACCACAGAGGATTATAATTTGTGTGTGTATACATATATACATTACATGTTATTAAAATGCAATATATAAGTATATATATGCAAAACATAAAAAAAGTAATATGGGGATAGTTACAAAAATAGTATTGGGGATGTAAGGTACAGCATAGGAAATATAGTCAATAATTTTGTAATATCTATTTATGGTACTATTTGGGTACTGGAAATATCAGGGGGAACACTTTGTAAAGTATATGATTGTCGGACCACTAAGTTGTACACCTGAAATTAATACAAAATAATATTGAATGCAATTGAAAAACTTAAGCAAGTCAAGTAATGTAGAGAACTAGAGATTGTATCTAGACCAATTGGCTTCAGTGAACTTAAAGGGGAAATAACCCCAAACCTAATTATCTAAGTTAGGGGCCAACTTGTGTGGGGAAAAGACAGATAAGACCAGAGGAAGGGAAGGAAAAAATCTGTTTCTCTTTAGTTACTTGTTTATTCCACAAATATATATTAAGTGTCTTTAGTGCTGGGGATATAGAAATAAACAAAACAAACAAAATCCCTGTCCTCATGAAACTTATATTCTAGTGAAAATAGATAATGAACAGTAAATGTATATGTGTGTTTATATATACTCATGTATGTGGGTGTGTATGACAGAGAGAGAGAAAGAAAGAGCAGACACATGGAGAAAATTAAGCAGGGCTAAGAAGTGTGGGCCTTTGGGATGGAGAAGGTTGCACTTTTAAATGGAGTGGTCAGGGAAGATCTTACTAAGGAGGTGACATTTGAGCAAAGATCTGACTTTTCCACAGTCTCTCTTTTTCTCTTTCTAAAATTCTTCTATTTGTAAATACCTAGGAGCTGAAATTTAGAACATATTTTAAAAGTACTTAAACCCTCCCTGGCTGGTTGGCTAAGGGGTTAGAGCATCAGCCTGGGTTCCAAAGGGTCTCAGGTTCGATTCCCTATCAAGGGTATGTACCTGGGTTGCAGGTTCAATCCTGCCCCAGTCAGGGCACCTGCAGGATGCAATCAATTAATGTGTCTCTCTCACATCGATGTTTCTCTCTTTCTCACCCTCCCTCATTCCCTTCCACTCTCTCTAAAAATTAATGGGAAAATTACCTCGGGTGAAGATTTTAAAAAGTACTTAGACCCACTGTTCTTATAACCACCCACCCACTTTTGTTACCCTTGAGCAACCTACTAAAATGATCTGAAGTCAATCCCACATCCTTTCACCCTACATGCCAGTAAGTCAACACAGTCCCACTGTTTACAAACCCTGTCCGAGATGCTGTGGAATACCCTCCTGAACCCAGACACGCCTCGTGCCCTTGTGTAACAGTTGAGGTGAATGGGTTCCATGTAAAAAGGTGACCTTATAAGACTTACAGGGCAGTTTATGTGAAACCAATCATTATTAGCAAACCAAGTTCCTAAGTGCTAAGGGAAGGCCAAGACAATAACAGGGAGTTGGGTGGGCGCTTCAGGGAAGTCTTTCTGGAGAAGGTAAATATTTCACTCAGGTTTGGTGGAAAGGAAGAGCCATGCCTTGGTTGAGAGGATGGCTGAGGGCATTGCTAAGGGAGGGGATAAGTTCGTAAGCCCAGATGAGCAAATTTTGTTTTGGAGGCTCCGTTGGGATTAACTTTGCTCCAGCAGAGGCACCAAGTAGGAGAGCTCTGGAAAGGGGCTGAAGTCCACCTGCCTTAACGCATCTCTGTTCTCCACCTTCAGATATGTCACCGGTGGTGGCAGGCCTTATCGGGGCCTCTGTACTGGTGGTGTGTGTCTCGGTGACCGTCTTTGTCTGGACATGCTGCCACCAGCAGACAGAGAAGAAGCACAAGAACCCACCATACAAGTTTATTCATATGCTCAAAGGCATCAGCATATACCCAGAGACCCTCAGCAACAAAAATAAAATTATCAAAGTGCGAAGAGACAAAGATGGCCCTGGGAGGGAAGGTGGACACGGGAACCTGTCGGTGGGTGCAGCAGAGGCTGGCCTGCTGGGCCGAGACAAGGGTCCCAGGCCCCCCAGTTCTGGATCTTGTCTTGGCCAATTACCCATCAAAGTGGACTATGGGGAAGAACTGAGGAGCCCCATTGCAAGCCTAACCCCCGGGGAGAGCAAAACGAGTTCTCCATCATCTCCAGAGGAGGACGTCATGCTGGGGTCCCTCACCTTCTCGGTGGACTATAACTTCCCCAAAAAAGCCCTGGTGGTGACAATCCAGGAGGCCCATGGGCTGCCCGTGATGGATGACCAGACCCAGGGCTCTGACCCCTACATCAAAATGACCATCCTTCCTGACAAGAGGCACCGGGTGAAGACCAGAGTGCTGCGGAAGACCCTGGACCCTGTGTTTGACGAGACCTTCACCTTCTACGGCATCCCCTACAGCCAGCTCCAGGACCTGGTGCTGCACTTCCTAGTTCTCAGCTTTGACCGCTTCTCTCGGGACGACGTCATTGGGGAGGTCATGGTGCCACTGGCTGGGGTGGACCCCAGCACAGGCAAGGTACAGCTGACTAGGGACATCATCAAAAGGAACATCCAGGTGAGGAGGAAGTGTGTGTTGGGGAGGGATGGTAGGTTGGGGGAGACAAGATCTTAGGGGACAAATGGAAGGGGGAGGGGGAGGGGATGAAATGGGTGGCAAAGAGGGACTGTGGGGCGGAAGCTCTCACCTACCAAGAACAAGCCGTGGTCAGAGTAAGACAGAGGGCCTGGCAGGTAAGGTCTCCTGTAGGAAGCAGCTTCCTGGGGAGAGAGGGACAGGTAGCTTCTGAAATTCCACTTAGTAGCTGGTATCCTGACACTGCATCCAGCCTGCTTAGCTGTAGGGGCTAATTTTTTCCCCAAAAATAATATGTGATCTTCCTCTAGCGAATTTTTCACAGCTGAGAAACGTTGAAAGTGGTTCAATAATTTCCCCCTCTGCTTTCCTTTCCCAGCCCAAACCTAGGGGTATAAATAGCATCATGTCTGGATGTCCTTTAGTAACCATTTTATAAATGCGATTTAATGAATTGCTTCACCTCTGAGCCCCTGAGCCAGGCCCAAACCTTTGCTACAGATATTTCTCTCTCTATTCCTCCTCTCTGTTTGCGTGAGAAGGGGGATGGGCGGGGGGCGGGGGGGGGGGGGGGGGGGAGAGCCTTCTCTGCCACGGGGCTAGCATTGGCTCTTGAGTTGTCATTTCAGGGTTACAAGAATTGTGTACCTGTCCTCCATTAGTTCATTCATTTCCTCCACAATTGGGGAAGCAATGTAGTTCTATGGTTAAGCCCTCGGGTTCTGGAGTTGGACTGCCTGACTTCATGTTCCAGCTCACCGTTTTCCAGCTGTGTGACATGGGAGAAAACCCTTCTAAGCTTTTTTTCCCCCCAGTGTAAAATGGAGCTAATATTACCTTCCTTACAGGAGTACGTGGCTCAAATGAGATAATATCCCTGGTATATCAGTGCCCTAGGGGAGCTTTTACTTTAGTGGAGGAAAGACAAACAATTTTGGCAATTACCATATTGGCAGGTGCTTTGAAAGAAGTTGTTGACATTTTAACTCAGAGTTTCATTTATTTTTTCAGGATTAAATATAAGTGGTTAATAGCAAGGGCTTTGAAGTCAGACCTGAATTTTAATCCAGGACACTGGGCAGGGGGCATTTACTAAACGTCCAGGGGGGCTCTTGGCATGAGCCCAATTTCTTTCTATTTTATTAACTCCCCTCAGGGAGGGATAAGCCAGGGCTGCAATCCTTAGCAACACATTCCCTGGGAGAGGCCCCACACAGGACACCCAGAGCCTGTGCAACCCCACACCAGAGCCTTCCCACCGCCCGGCTTCCCAACAGTGTTCTCCCCAACCAGTAACTATGGGCAGGGCTGTGTTCCAACCCGAGCCATGACTATCATTCCCCACTCATCTGGCTAAACACTCATCCTGGTGATTTCCTAGCACTGCAGCCTCCCATGCCTGCCCGAAATCTTCCCGACTGTAGCCAAGCGTCCGCCCTTTCTGGGTCTCCCCTTAGCTCATCAGTTAGAGCTGCTTGGGCCGACTCCACGCTGTCTGTAAAGAGCTTTTTTTTTGGTCTGTGTAAAGCATTCCTTTATAATACGGGGCCCAATGATCTTCCTCCAAAGATTCCTGCGTGGTGGTGAGAATTGCATTTCTCTATATAGCTCCCCACCACTAACTGTATTTCCTGGCCTTTAGCAGAAAATTCATCTCTTGTTCTTTCCATTATACAGTGCAGTCCGGTTGAAGAAGCCCAGGTCTGGTCATCACTTTTTACTCTGTCCATTTCATTACCTTATTCTGGGCAAGTAGTTAACATCTCTGGGCCTCAGTCTCTCTCTAGGCTGGATCATGAAGTTTACTAGGATCACTTTATGAGAGCACTCTTGGTTCTTATGAACATACAAAAGGATATAAGAAGCATGAAAAATGAACTCTTGATGATTAGTAAAAGGAGATCATGATATAAACTCTGTAATACCCAAAATCTCTGAGTTGGGCTTTGGGACTTGATTTTTTATTTTTTATCTTTTTAGTGGCAAGCAGCTTTTTTCCTAGTATTTTATTCAGATAGAAATGAACAGGCAGTTATATTCCCACAATAAATTCCCCACAAGGAGAAGGGAGACCATGCAGAAGGGGCTGGGGAATAAAAAAGAGACATTGGGAAAAGAGAATTGCCGAGTGGGTAACAGAGAGTTGTTAGACTCCTGATTTCTTCAGGTCATTGTTTTCCTGCCTTTCCACTGTCCAATCCAGTGTTGACGACCTGGGACAATGGCCACTTAACGAAAGGATTCTTAAAATCTCAGATTTACAGGGGACCTTAGAGGTCATCCATTCTAGCCAAAGGGACTGAAAAGAGAGAAAGAAAAAGGAATGTCCCTTTCCCAGGAACAATAAAGAAGGTTGCTCTGTATGTGTCCTGGGGAGGAGGAGAGGGTGGAACATGAAGGTTTTTGTTTCTTTTGTTTTCCCATGATTGTGATTGATGTGGAGGTGGCCCTTTGTACTGCTCACCCCAGTAAAGGTTTACTGTGGCTGTGTGGCTCCCCCTGATGCAATGACTCCATGGCTAGAAGATCATCCTGGGAGGGGCTCTGCTAGTTAGAGGAAATAGGTTTCTCCCTGCCTAAGTGTTTCTGTGTCCGTCTGTCTGCTTCAGGACCCATGCTCCTGTTCCTCTTTCCCACTGAGGGAGGGCAGAGCCTCCCAACTCTGTCAGGCACGGACAAAACCCTTTCTCCCCCTTGTCCTTCTGCTTGTCTGCCCCACAACAGGGTCTTTGCCTCATTAAGCCAAGGGACTGGGAAACAGAGCTCGCTCCCAGCCCTTGACAAAGAGCCTTTGAAAAAAGAGCCATTGGCAATGCTACTTGGAATGGGATTGGGTGGGAAAAGAAGGGGAGGAGAACGAGGGGACATGAAACTGTTCTTCGATGCAGAATGGAGTGGCATTCAGGTAGTGCTGTGGCTGCAGACTTGGGTATCACAAAGGGGCAGCTGAATGGGCACTGGCATTCTGCCCAGGTAAAATGACAAAGGTGAGGGCGGCCAGAAGGAAAACAGTTGCCTGAGGAGTGATTTTAGGGGAGAAAAATATTAAAAGGGGAACCAGAAGTTGTCTACTTTCTCAAAGACCTACGGAAGGGACGTGGAGGTTTAGATTAGGGAGATTTTGCTATAATGAATGATTTAGGAAACAGTTTTAAACAAATATTCAGGAAACCTAAACTATAATATTGTAGTTAGTGGTGGTTTTTTTTAATTGATTGAATTTGAGAGAGAGGTGGGGGGTGGGAGGGGAAGAAACATCAATGTGAGAGAGAAATGCTGGTCAGTTGCCTCCCACAAGTGCCCTGATCAGGGATTGAACCTGCAGCCTGGGTGTGTGCCCTGACCTGACCAGGAATTGAACCTGCCGCCTTTTGGCGTATGCGACAACGCTTCAACCAACTGAGCTACACCAGCCAGGGCTAAAACTCTGTGTTATTTTTTTAAATCAAATATCCCTTTAACCCCACATATCCTTCTTCTGTATATATATAAAGTTAGAATTATATTGAAAGATTGCATATTTAATATTTAGATACCCGTATTCAAGATGGTCCCAGAAATAGATATCAAGTCTACTTAACATTTTATTATTCGTGGAAACGGAGGAGAGCAATGGCCCAAATCATCCAAAGGTTCTTGCTTTCTAGATCAGCTCTGTCTGCTGGGGCTTTCTGTGATGGTGGAGCTGTTCTCCATCTGCACTGTCCAATATGGTAGCCACACATGGCTGGTGACCATTTGAAATATGGCTCCTGTGACTGAGGAACTAAAATGTTAATGGATTATAGTTTAAATAGACACATGTAGCTAGTGGCTACTGTATTGGAAAGCTCAGTTCTGAAATGTTTTGGAAGGCATTTGATTTTCTTTCTCATGGGGGATTACTTTCCTAATGCCATTTGGCTGTGGGTAATAGTAAAAAGGAGTTTACGTTCTCTGGTTGTATTCTGATTTGTGTCAAAAAGAAGCAGCGCAGAAGTATACTGGTTGGCAAGGGCAACCAGCCTGTGATTTTAAACTGGCTGCGGGTACTTCCTGTGGATATAATCGAAACCAACCAGACAATATGTATGTTATGGGCAAGGAAAAAATGTGAGACTTCAATCTAGTAGAGAAAAGCTATCACATCTTTTTAAAAGTCTATTCTCTTTTTTACTTCAGTTTCAAAATTAAATTTTAGTTAGTCATATTCTATGCCCTATGAGAGACATTTTCATATGCTCCTGGTATGAAACATAGTCTTGAGAAATTTTTTAAACCACATGAAATAATCGAATTCCTTATTATCACAATGTTATTCCTTGAGATAACATAAGGCTTATAATCAAAACATAAACTATTAGGTTTTTCCCCTTGTTTTTCATTGATAAGCTAGTTAAATTACTGCTGTTGTCTTTTCCTGTATCAGACACACTTGACAGATAGAGCACTAGCTTGTAGCTTCTCCTTTTTTTAAAATATATTTCTTTATTGATTTCAGAGAGGAAGGAAGAGGGGGAGAGAGATAGAAACATCAATGATAAGAGAGAATCATTGATTCGCTGCCTCCTTCACTTCTGAGTATTAAATGAGATAATGCGCATTAAGCACTTAGAACAGTGCTTGTCATATATTAGATATTTAGTAAATGTTAGCTATGATTTTTATTTTTATCAGTTTGTGTATATATTGCTGGTGATTTTGTCTTTTGTAGGAACACCCAATGAGGGCTAAGGTCAAGGGACACTTAAATGAGTGACTTGGATGTGTTTATGAAATGAATTCACAAATAAGCATTAATCCATGTTTAATTGAATTTAACCATAAGGGTGTGAGTTTAAACTCTAGATTTTTTTACGTTAAGTGCTTATTTATAACACAGTTGAGTGCCTACAGGTCACTATTCTAGGATATAGAACACTGAACTAGGTATTAAAATAATACTCTGTATATTCAACTTTTTTATTCTGGAAAATTACAGATTCAAAAAGAAGAAAATAGAA